AGAGAATCACCTTTTTTGCATGATTGGTACTAAAGCAAACTTTAAATAAGGCTGAAATTATTATTGTTAGCAACTGCTACATTCTTATCTTTACCTAACATGGAGAGAGAAAGTAGACTTGATAATATTAAATTGAAGAGTTTTTTTCATGAGTAAAGTACTCAGTTAATAAATTATCCAATTTATTTATAGACTAGCGGCCGCCAGCGACTTCGTACGCGTTAACTTTAGTTAACTGAGAATCAATCAGGAACCTAATTTTTTCGAGATGAAAAGTATCTTGTTTCAATCAAGGCAATAAACTATATATTTGCCAAATTTTATCTAAATCCTTTCATTAGTTTTTGCGTGATTGTATAACAAACATACAAATTTTAACATTTATAATATCAATTAGGATTAGGATTATTATATAGCAGGGTAGTAAGACATGTAGGATAGGATATTGCGTTACTCAGATTCGATAAAGGATTAGGATTATTATATAGCAGGGTAGTAGGACATGTAGGATAGGATATTGCGTTACTCAGATTCGATAAAGGATTAGGATTATTATATAGCAGGGTAGAAGGATATGTAGGATAGGATATTTGGTTACTCAGATTCGATAAATAAGCGACATACTTTGCTGTTTTTATTTCAAACACCTAAGTTTGTTTCGTTATTTTCGTCACTCAGTAATAACGTGTAGATGATACACCTGGTACCTAATTTGTAGTACAAAAACTCACGGCAGTTAGTTCAGAGTACAAGTTTTCGTTCGTGGCCGCACGATATATTTGGTGGTTATCGTTTGATCTTAACGTTCTTTGAACCCTTAACCCTCGCTGCTTTAATGTTCTAGTAAGTTCTTTCATTTAACATGCTCTAGAAATCATAATAATATTTTCGTGTCGCGTATTTGTAAACAAAAGGCAAAGCAAAAATAACTAATTGCAGATATAATATGAAACATCAACAATGCACAAAAATATGAATATGCATGTAATTCAAATAAGCCTCATTTAATTTTTATATAAACTTTATTATTTTTTGTTTATAAAATTTCTTTTCGAGCAAGATATTAATGATATAAGAGTGCGAAAAACTTGTGGGAAATTCAAATATTATGAAACGCGACAATAGCGGTTGTGACGTCAAAATACAACAAATGTGATGTTCACAGAATATGCCAATATCAACAAGACTATATTGCGTAGATGAAAAAGCCACGTTCCACCAAGACACCGAATTAAACTATTCACTTAGACATTTAAATTTTTACTAAAAATATAGTTGTCTATTTAATTGGCGTCGGGTTCGACTTTCATCCACAGTGTATGGATACAATGGAACGCAAAATTTCAGTATCTTTTAGGGTCATTGATATTGTTTGTAGGTTTTTGCTATATCGTGACGTAACCACCAAGCGTTCGAAAATAGCGCGCGTTTAAACTGCACATGCAAAGTGGCGATTTTTATTTTTTTTAGATACTTTATACTATTTCTTCGATGTCGTTTTTTATACTATATAAATTAGATGTCAATTACTAGATAGAAATAAAAATATAAAAAATCATGCTTATTTCCATATAATTTGTGCGATCTTAGGTAAAGCGGTAAAGCCAAAACAGTTACTTAGAATCTACAAATATAAGTTTTCATAATTAAATTTTCCCATCATTCGATTTCTTATTGTTCTAATAGTAATTATTATTCATATTTCTAGACTTAAAACAACACTTTAGACTGCTTAAATTTTACTAACTTACATGCAGTAACTGTATGCAGATGCTCAAAAATATTTTTTTGCACAAACTGCATTGTATAAGCTCAATTGTTTACTTAGTTTCACAAAATTTTATAATAAACTTTAGTTTCGCCGCACACGGTCCACACGCCACAGCCACAAACGCCGCCACGAGAAGCTAGAAGCGGCTACTAAAGTGGCTGAATCGCGCGACAGCGGCCGACTAAGGTAAGGAAGAGAGGGGTGGGGAATCGCGCAAGTGACGTATGGCGGCGTTTTGTATCGGCGCATCAAGTGGCCGCTGCGGGCCACAAGAAGCGAGCAACGATGATTTGTAGCGTGTGGGGCGAGTCCATATATAATGTATAAAAACTACAAGAAATATGCCGGTGGCGGCGTTTTGTGGTTGTGGCGTGTGGCCCGTGTGCGGCGACTCTTAAGGCTAAAGGCTTGACAGGAATTCAAAACCTCAAACTTTATTGAAACAAAGGTAAAATCATGTTGCGGCTCTTTCTACCTTGTGGGATATGATATCTCTTTTCCTCACACTCTCTGTCTTTAAATACTAAGTCTATGGAAACACTGGACACATTAAAGTTGAATGACGTAATTTCAAAGATCAATTTCCAGGTACAAATCTCAACCATCAAACAAGGCAACAACTGCATTTTAATGGGTAACAAAGGTGATGCCTTTGGGACCTACATCGACCTACTACAATCTAAATTAATGTGAGCTTGTAACACATTGTCGGATCCTTCGACGACTCCTGTGGGATACCTACACCTATGAAGCTCGATATTGCGTGAACTAGATACTAGGGTTTAATTAATCAAACTTTAGTCTATACACTATTCGAAAATATTTTAAAAAATGCTAGCTAAATTTAAAAAAAAGACACCCAAATAAAATTAATTTGTAAGATCTGACAAATTGCCTAGATATTTCCTAAGAAGATACAACAAGTTAGTTCTCCCTATATCCAGAACCCAGCTACGATAAGAGAATCATAACATTTGAAGGCGCATATCTATATAACATACCCGATTTTGTGAAGAAGGAAGAATCAACCAGTATCTTATAAAACAACATAATTATATCGATAATTTAAATTAAATTAAGCACTAATACTGACTGCGTCTGCCGTCTACCAACGGGACTATAGAAATATCTTTGCCTAACTAATGTTTTCTCATGCAAGTGGCTGTAATGTTTTTTATGAGAATTAAAGTTTCTCTAACCTTAATTTGGGAAGTAAAAATTGTTAAAACCACGTATTATAAAAGTTTGGAACCTGATTTCGCGGCATAAACCTTGTGTCACTCGACTATAGTTTTAAATTCTTTCATAAAGCATAACCAACGCACATTAATTTAGATTGTCAAAAGTCAGCTTTTCCCAACAGGTCAGAATTTTACTTGTCCCATTAAACTTGTTGGTTACTTAAAGCGAAAGACTTTATAAAACACAAATTAAGCAGTTTATAAACGCAGCTTAGTATCCGTGGCCCAAGTATGAGTTGCGGCTCAAATTTCTTTTACTATCGCATTTACGTTTAAATCGAAATTAGTATGGTGCAATTTTCAACTATCCTTTTTTTAAGTTCTTTAACCTAGAAGATGCAGTGACGACAGAAAAAAAATAGAAAACTTACAACTCTACCCGATAAGCGACACTGCGATTGTTTTATTTTATATTTTAATCTGGCAGTACAACTTCTGTCTGGTGGTACAAGAAAAAAAAGCTAATATGTGCCATTCTGACTGAAAGAATCTTCCATTTAGAACATAAAACAAGATTTTTCTTTAACTGATTTAGTCCGAATTGAGAATAGAAAACCTTTATTGCTGAATTAAGAAGTAATCTACGGCGTTTTTATTGTGCAATAATTTATTGGAGTTTACTCCTTAAGAATCGATTTGCATTATGTAAAACCACTTGTCACTGTAATTAATAATGCAGACAATGTTGATTTAATTAATATTTAAAAAAATGATAATAGTCTGATAATAATAATTACATAATTTATCAACATGCCTAATGATATATTTATGCACATCTGAAATTGACTATTGTAAAAAGTTTAATGTAAAATATTTCGTCAATTAGTTATAATAAATGTATATGAAATGAATAAATATATATTTATATATGTATATTATTTTCATTAATTTGTTAATTTACCCTTTCATACAGTATCAATTTTTTTTAAGTTAAATAAACTCTTTTTGCGTCTGGTTAGACTATCGAACTTAAGGAGTAAACTCCAGTCGTGCGTCGGAGCTGACACACACAATTTTTTTTTGATGTTCACGCGGTTGGTGTCACGTTGTAGTAATCTGCTTCAGATAAGGTGTCCGGTAACATGAAATCACACGAGTAAATGAAATACACCAAACACTGACACACACGAAGGGTCCATTGTACAAGATTAAATTATATGTCTAGCAAAAAAATATTCTTTTGATTACCTAATACAAGTTACAAGTTTTTTTTTCGTTCTGTACTAATAGGCCCAGGATGGATGCTTTTGAAGATCGTTAAAAGTGAAAAAGAAATTGGTACCTGAAATCCACACTTAAAAGAAAAGAACGCATGAAAAAGAGGAAAAAAATTACGGGCGATTTGAGGTCGGGTCGGGTAAGGTGGTTATGGGGAAAACGATTCACCACAATTTTCCCGAAATCTACAACTCCTATCGAAAAACATTCCACGGCCAAATGTAGGATATTTTAATAGATCTGACTGTTGTATTTACACTCTTTAGTAACATATTATAATAATCCCAAAGGTTGGTTATTTTGATTTTTCACAGAAACTTTAAGGTTATGTGGAAAAAGTGTAAATATAAAAGTTGTAATTTTTTTAACTGTACAATTTGCCATTGACATTTTTTAGACATCCTATTCCGATTTTTTTTGCTGTTAAAGATATCGGCCCTGACCTTTAAAGTGTTATCTGGACAACAACTTTGTAACCTGCATTCGCAATAAAGATGATTTTGATTTGATTTTAAAAATTTCATTGGCTACTTATTTTAGGTATTTAGAATCTAAGGTACTTACTAAATGCTGTTTTAAGAAAAAATGTGCATGGTTATTAATTAAAAAGATTTTTAATTAACCACCACCGTGTTTTCTATATTGCATTTCTTGATAATATTGTTAAATGTCTTTGTTGTTTAACTATCACTCATTATGGTATTTTCAGTGTATTTTTTTTATGTAAGCATAGTTTTTTGCTCAGTAGAAATAACCGTTTGAATGTTCAGGTGTGCCCCAGTTGAACGGATGCGGTGGAGCGGCGACGCGGTGGCGCCGGTGAGAGCGCGCGCGCGACGCTAGACGATGGGCCGCGCTAGGTGAGCGGGGCGCGGCGGCGGTGCATGTACGCGGCGGCGGGCGGCGCGTCGCTAGCGGGCCGCAAGGTGACCTACCACTGTTACCTACCATATCTATCAGTATTACCTTTGTGAGGGCGCGCTAGGTGAACGGGCGTGACGGCTGTGTATGTACGCGGCGGCGGGCGGCGCGTCGCTAGCGGGCCGCAAGGTGACCTACCACTGTTACCAACCATATCTATCAGTATTACCTTTGTGAGGGCGCGCTAGGTGAACGGGCGCGACGGCTGTGTATGTACGGGGCGGCGGGCGGCGCGTCGCTAGCGGGCCGCAAGGTGACCTACCACTGTTACCAACCATATCTATCAGTATTACCTTTGTGAGGGCGCGCTAGGTGAACGGGCGCGACGGCTGTGTATGTACGCGGCGGCGGGCGGCGCGTCGCTAGCGGGCCGCAAGGTGACCTACCACTGTTACCAACCATATCTATCAGTATTACCTTTGTGAGGGCGCGCTAGGTGAACGGGCGCGACGGCTGTGTATGTACGCGGCGGCGGGCGGCACGTCGCTAGCGGGCCGCAAGGTGACCTACCACTGTTACCAACCATATCTGTCAGTATTACCTTTGTAAGGGCGCGCTAGGTGAACGGGCGCGACGGCTGTGTATGTACGCGGCAGCGGGCGGCGCGTCGCTAGTGGGCCGCAAGGTGACCTACCACTGTTACCAACCATATCTATCAGTATTACCTTTGTGAGGTCGCGCTAGGTGAACGGGCGCGACGGCTGTGTATGTACGCGGCGGCGGGTGGCGCGTCGCTAGCGGGCCACAAGGTGACCTAACAATGTTACCAACCATGTCTATCAGTATTATCTCTGTGAGGTCACGCTAGGTGAGTGGAGCATGGCGGCGGTAAAAGTACTCGACGGAGGGCAACGTGTCGCTAGCGGGCCGCAAGGTAACGTTTCACTATTTACCCAATTTATCAGTAATTTGTTAACATGAGAAAAAACGCTGATATCTAGCAGATTTCAAAAAGATCTAGTGCTTAATTATTCTATTACTAAGATCCTCGTTAACTTCTATCAATACTCCCTATCAATATAACCACAAAAGAATGCAAGTTACCTTGTTTAATTTTCTGACGACCCAAGCTGGGTCAAGCGAATTGTCCAATTCATTTATGATTACAAAATTCATCTATGACTGCCATGTATGCTAGCCGATCCATTTTAACAAGGAAAAAGGCAAAATTATTTTAAAAGTTAGGTTCAAAACAATGGAAACTTAATACGTTTTAAAGACTAGCTTGCTATTAGCTCCAGCTGAAGAAATCCACAAACATATGTGGAACACATTTTGCACCAGCAATGTTTCCGGACCCATACGATTTGAATACCTTCAAAAAAAGAGCGTAATCCGTCCTTACAAGCCGGCATCGCATTTGTGATACTCCTGGTGTTGCAGGTGTCTATGGGCGACGGTGATCACTTGCCATCAGGTGAGCCGTCAACTCAGATGCCCCCGTTTTATTGTAACACTTTGTAAATTGTAAAACTTAAAGCATGATTGTTTGTCAACAGGCGCGCCAGCACGGCCGCCAGCCCGCGCCGCAGAGCCCGCACCCGCACAGCCCCCCCCACCCCGCGCCGACCGGCGTCCGCGCATTCTCGTGCCAGCACTGGGAGTCGCGCCTCTCCGCGCCCCCGCCGCGACCGCTCTCCGCCCTCGTCTCCGAGCCACACTCGCCATGCGACCTCGTCGAGGTACAATGCCTGGTTGACGTTGTATAAGTGTCGTTTTTAGATTAAGCATGTTATGTAAATGCGATAGCAATGTTATAACGAAATATAACGCAACGCGTTGAAAAAAAAAATCACGTTTTATTGCTCTATAGCGTTAAAGATGCAATTATGTTTTGCACATTCAACATACATTGCTATCGAGTAATTTATATCGAAGTCTATTATTTGTTGTATAATGTATTATTTATTATTCAAGCATTGAATGTCTTAAAACTAAAGTATAATTAATTGTAGTTAAGTTGTTTCTGTAATGATGTAATGAGTTGCTAGGATAAGCATGTTTGTAAATGGGGCATTGCAACTATGTATGTCGTAGCCAGTGTTCGACGTCATCTTTTATATTTTAGTTAATTTTGCTCGCCGTTGAGTTACTGTTATTTGTTCAAGATTGTGTCGCTTGAAGAGAGTTCAGCAATAATATGTGTTATTCGGAAGTGTTATTAAAAAAAGTGACAAAAGTGGGCCGGCCATGAAACAGGGACACTTGTCTGAAAGTAGCGTCAGATGGCAGGTGACAAAGAACCAAAGACTGCGACTTGATGTGCGGAACGAGACATGAGTGATACAGTTCTAATAATTGCAATAAAACAATATATGATTTTAAATAAGTAATAAATTAAATCTAAACGCCAAATTGCGCTTGCTTCCATTACGTATTCTTTCTCACTAAACATATCGTAGTTATAAGGTAACGACCACTATATAATATTTATAAAAAAGTTCAATTAGATTATATAATTAAACATAGTTTCGCGCCTTTCTTGTGCCTATCTCGATCAAATTCTAAATCTTTACTCGAGGTATTTGAAAGTAATATCCTGCTGTGATGGGACATTAGAGATATTGACTTCGGGTGTGTAAATACTATAATATGTAAATAAAAAAATACAAGAAACAAACAAATCGAATACTAAGTAGTTCAATTACAAAGGATAAACTAGTAGAATAGCAGCGCTAGTTGTAGTATTAAAATCTCATTAAATAATAACAATAAAAAACATATAACTTTCGTTGTAAAAAACTTGATAAAAAGTGAAAAGCGTTTTCTAAAGCGCGCTGTGTCGAGGACGTGCCACAGCCATTGGCTGAGTTTCGTATCCACGTTCTCCGACGGCCACAAAACTGGCAAGTATGCAGGCAGCTCTTATGCTAAGACATAAATCGAGGGAGAGAAGAAAACAACGTCTCAAGAGAGGAATCAAGCACGACCTGCCGAGCAATGTGGCCACAAAGTCGATCGCACCCTTCCCGAGATACCCTCCTGCTTCATGGGTACGTCATAGAATATAATATAATAAATATGTGTCAATCAGATTAATCGCTGCGATCTGTCTTTTTACAAGTACCAGCTAGTTACATTTTAAAAGACGATTCAGGGAGCCATCGGCTGCAACGGCCAGATTAACTACATTGGCCGTTACGTCCAAGTTCTACAATTATTCTGGTCATAGTGGCCACTAGCCGTGGTCTTGGGCGTCCAGTGCGCGAGGCGCCTTATAGCGACCATACGATGTAACTGTATGTGGCATAAAAGTTAAAATATTAATTTAGTCTTAAATCGGAAACACCAAAAAAAACGCGGGAGCCAATGTGCTCATTTTTTATTGCATTGGAAAAAGGCTCAGTGCAATATTTTAGTTACGAATAATATGAACGTTTGCTTCAAAACTCATACCAATTTGGAAAGAAATATTTACTTCTACGCATAAATTTCCTGATAAGAAATTTTATCGGTTTTTAAAGACATATAATTATAACTGTAGGTATTATTTTAATCTCTTATTGTGTATTGTAACTAAATAATGGTACTTGTATGAAGATTTTAGCTGTAAAAATGTGGTATATGTTTATGAATCTGCATGAATATAGGTAAATTATCTGTAGTTAAAAATAGTTATCATTATAACTGTACAATATTTCATGTTAACTGTATTTCTAATTTCATAATATTGGCCTATCTAATTATACAAAACTTCCCGCCCTAGCTTTGCTTCGGTGTAGACTATAATTACTATTCTAAGGCTTTGATCAGAAATTCCGCGAAAAATTCTAACTGGTGGTGAATACCGCATAAAAATTTTACCGGCGGATTACATCGAACCAAAGACAGTTGCGCTATGGCAGTCAGCGGGTGCGCACGCATACATGTAAAAAATGTCGTATGAAGACCAGAGTCGCGAACGCGATATTATCAGCGAACTAATTGATCTCTATAGAGATCTCCCATGCTTATGGGACATTATGTCGGAATCATATAATAAAGCTCGTCAAAAAAAATGCATGGATTTGGACATAAGTTTGAATGGCTGAGAATCATTCACTCTTTTTACCAACGCTTCATCCACTTTCTCTTTTTGTGTTGTTTTTCGTCGTCTTTTGTACACAAAACTCCTAAGGCAATGCCCACTTTTTGAAATTTAGACAAAGGACAATGTTAAAATTGGCCTAAGAACCAACACCAATTTGGCATTTATGATAATTCTTAGTCTAAGTTTTGCAATAATTATCAGTATTTAGATAGTGACGGACACTTCCAGTTAAGTAAGCTAAATTAAAAAGTTAATAAATAATCTGAGACAATAAATACCATTTTATGTGTATAATCTATGACAGCGCTGCAAACAAAACACTCTTTTTCCTAATGCCGGCACTTCACTTGGCTATTCGTATTTGCTATTTAAAAACATGACATCAGCCTGTCCTTTTCATTCCTTATTAAGCATGACAAGGACAAACTGTTGTCAAGTGAAGGGCCGGCATAAACTCGAAACTCTGTGGTTGTGGTGCAGGCACTTTGCATTCGTAGTAATCTGTGGCATTCGTGCATTCCAAAGAGTAGTATAATATGCCGGAAAGTGCATTCTCTTTTCGGATTACCTGTTGTGTGTGTTTATTTGCGATTGTTGTTCCTTTAATTTAACTATTTCGGCTATCTAATATGCCATCGATGTTACCAAAGAGCAGATACTTATTACCAAGTGCTAGTGAACCTGTGCCACAACATCCTGAGAGGATCATACTGCCAAATTATTCAAGAGCACCTGATACACATTCACGCTGCATATTTACTCAATATACATGTGTTAAACAAATAAATACAATATGATACAATTATGTGAAAAATAGAAGAAGCAAAACTACAGTTTTTATTTTATTCATGATTTCTACCTAACTAAGTTTTTCCTAATAGTTATTCTTTAAAATCGCACCGAATAAAATGAATTAGTTGTAATATTAATTCACTTCATACTGAGTTCATACTAAATTCATAGGTTGACTTATGTTTCATTGAATATTAAACATAACGTCAAAAACATTTTAGTTTTCCTAATAATTTAAGTTCTCAGAAGTGTCCGTCAATAATATTTGTTTTTACAGTCATCTACTTGCGATTTCGAACCTAAAAAATAATATTTCATGATTGTTGGTTCTTAGGCTAACTACGAGTATGTATGGACGCAGAACAATGTCCTTTGGAGCCATTTCTACAACACGGTTACTAATACAGTCCGCGCATGATACAAGTGCATACATGTTTTCACGCCAGAAGACGGCTCGCGATTGCGTGTTGGCGCGTGGATTACATCCGTGTAGCCGAAAATCATAACGCGGATGGAAACCAACTTCCCACCAAGGTCACCTTGGTTGGTACGCTGGATTAAATCCGTCTAGGCTTTAAGGGCGAAAAAAAGTCAGTTCATTTGCATGCAAGAAGAACTAGTAAATACATAATTTAGTTTTACGGAAAGAAATGATGCTATAGGAATAGTACCCCAACAAATAGAATTATGAATTTTTAATACTTAATTACTATATTAAGTTGTAAGATAAGTTAATTAAGTCACTCCTGTCCACATTACTCATTTTCTTGATGTTTTGTCGTAACTTCAAACGTGGAGTTAATCCCGCATACAAAATGTTGCGCTCAGGTATTCATATTATGAGGCTCTTTATTAATATTCATAATGGATCGGTTCACTTAAATTTACATATAGATATGCTGAGTCCCATGGCATTTAGTATGTCACAAATTCTAGGCGCGGGAAACGTAAGTACGTTCCGTTGCCGTATTTAGGTATATTTTACAACAAATTAAGTTTCACTTTGACGATTGAGTTAACACATCAGTGTAGAGAAAAACTTCTTTTGAAGTTGATATGAATACGGATAAATTGATCACCTAATTTTAGCTACATTTTATTCATTTATTTTATTTCTGATAATATTTTAACATGATCTTGTTATTTTTTCTTTATTTGTGTAACCTTAACTAAATCTAGATACAAATGTAGCAGTAGAATTTGAAACATATTTATTTATTCATGTCCTATGTGTGTCAAAATGAAATAGTTCCTTTTTTTAATTCTTAGGTTGAATTTTCCTAACCTTACCTAACTTTTAAGTTTTATCACATATCCGTAGTAGATATCACTTGCCAAGGTCATGTTCACCTATAACCTGATGACAAAAAATAATCTAGATCTAGATTATTTTTACATTCATTACAATCTCAAATCTCGGTGATGCAAATTTTATGCTATTTCTTTTCATGTGACAGCTTGACTGCAGTATAAAAAGAGCGGTCGCAATTCACCGCCCGGAGGCATTCCGCTCCATTCATTCGGAGTGCTTTGTTTTTCATTCCACTTCATAAGTCATTTGTATGATCATAACCATTATGAAAATTATAAACAACGTTATTGTTGAATATGCATTATATGGTCATGGACGGACTGAGAATGTACGTATATCTAAAAATATACCTATTAATAAGGTTTTAAAATTCTTATAATTGAAATGAGTCTGTTGATGAGGTAAGATTTACGATCGCGGTAAGATTCAAACTCCTCAGATTTTTTAAAAGTTAATAAAAGTAAATGCTGTCACTTTATTTGTGGTAGCAATAGAGATAGACAACGTATCATTTCGACAACCATTTCATTTAGCTATGAGTGCGTGTT